AATTCACTTGACGAGAGAAGTAGGATGGCTTGTCTTTGGGTAATGGGTGGATTTAGCTGTGTGGAAGACGGATAGATCTTCTCTTGCTCCTTCTCTCTGCCCAGGGTGGGGAGGTGGGAGCTCCCTCTCCCCACGCCTGCCGGTCCTGCTGGCGGGGCCCTTGTCTGGCCCTCTGCCAGGGTCGTGGGGACAGCTCACAGTGTAAGGGTGGGGCACGCAGAGGACAGCGTGCAGGCAGAAATCCAAGCACACCCTGAGGTGTCAGAGCCGGAACTAAGGTCACTATCAAACTCTTCTCTTCATGGGGGGGGGGGCTAAGTTTTGTTTTGAACATGAACATTCCTGAATTTCATACTGAGACCCTTTCCAGGCAGATTTCAGACTCCTGGTCACTGGCTGACCTAGGAACCCTGAGACATCAGGGGCAGCCCCTGTGCCCAGAGTTTCACCCCTTGGACTTACTTGGCAGCTGCTTCCAGGCCAATAATTTGGGCTTTTTTCTGCTCTGTTTATGAAGAAAAAGAAAAAGAAAAAGAAAAAAAAAGAAAGAGTGCTGGCATCAAGCGAAGACCCCAAGCTTAATGAATTGAGACAGAATGGGAGGTGGCTGGGAGTATGTCAGGTTCTCGGGGGACCCCCACTAGCTGCCTGTGACTTCATCTACAAAGGAAAAGAACAGAACTAAAAACATGTACGTGTGCAGAAAATACGTCACCGAAGGCTGTAGCACCAGGGCAGAGATTGTCAGGAATTTTTCCGATGGGTTTTAGGTCGCCAGGTACAGATAGCCCTTTAGAACACAGAAACCTGGTGCTCAACCGCGCGAGCCTCCCCGAGTGCGGCGCGCACGGAAGCCTGCACTGGCCTTCGCTGGCATGATCGTGGGGTGTTATTTTCTGGGTGCAGCAGAAACCGCTAGCTCTGACTGGGGTCAAGGCTCCCCCATTCCCTACGCCAAGCACGTCCTCCTGCTCTCCCCGCTTGCCCCACAACGGCCTAACCCCACCTACCTTCAAACCCAGCCACGATGCGCATCACTAGGAAGGGCAGGCGTGCAGACCACCAAACACGCACGCATCCAAACGGGTCAAAGGAACTACAGGACGTTGGGCGGCCACCTAAAACCTGTGTTTCCTTGGACTATTCAACATGGGAAAATGCCCCCACCAGAATATCAAGTAACTGGACTATAACCATATAAAATATAACAGTCACACTCACGTATATTAGATATGCAGGAAAAAATAATAGGAAGAATCTACACAGTGGCTATCTGTTAATGGGATTAAAGGTGATTTTTAAATTTCTTTGTACTTTTCCAAATTTCGAAGTTTTGCCTCAAAACACAATGATCAGAATAATTGGGTTTCTTAAGTGGAATCCTAAATATTTTGCTAGTCCGAGGCTTGCATCCCCTCTTATATTCTTGCCGAAATGCCATCTGACCTCTGCTTGAACTCCTCCATTGATGGGGAACTCACTACCCTCTAAGGTCTTTTTTGGCCACTTCTTCCTCATGAAGAATAGAAATCTGGCTCCCTTTAGCTTCCCCCACTGGTCACAGTTCTGCCTTCCGGAGCAACAGAGAACTGCTTCCCATGCCCGCTGACAACACTTCAGAGGCTCCAAGGCAGCGGCCAGACACTAGGCTACATTCCCTCCCCGCCCCCGCCCACCTCATTCTTCCAAGGACTTCAGTGTCCTTCACCTCCCAGATCCCTGTGTGCTTTCCTTGGGTACAACGCAGGCCGTGATGTCCTTAAAGGACAGCTTCAAGTCTGCGCCTCATTCTCTCTTTCAATGGCACCCACCTGCCAGTCAGGGTTTCGGGGACTCTATGACATGCACGCTTTCATCTAATCTCCAGAACAGCCCTGTGACACAGGAGCTAGCATCACACCTATAATATAGATGAGGAAACTGAGGCATGGAGAAGCCAAGCCACTTCCGAGGTCACAGAACTCAGTAACCCTCAGATCCTTGAATCTAGAGGGACCTTGAGAAGTCCTGTGGTCAAACCCCTGTCCCTCGCTAGGGTAGTCCTCGTCAAAAGTGCCAGCGTCAATCCTTGCTGCCTGCCACTGCCACTCCCCACAAAGAACCCTTTCACACCGTGCCTTCAATGGCCCAGCCTCTGCTCGGGCCATCCTCTCGGCCTTGAATGGGTAACTCCTACGGAACCTTCCAAACCACTCCCCATCCAAGACCCTTTCCTGAACCTCTCAAGGCGGGACGAGATGCTCCTGCTGCACCCCGGGCTAACCCCTAGCATGGTTCTTATTTGGCCCCCATTCACTCACTCAAATATTCGCTCAGCCCCTGCTCTGTGCTCTGCGCAAGGCAATGAGCGCTAGATGGGCAGTGCAGAAAGCCGGTGCAATTGCACAGCTTTGCCACCAACTGGCTATATGACCTTGGACACATTGCTCCTCACTGAGCGTCAGTTTCCTCACCTGTAAAGTGGGGAAGATTCCACAGCTCAGGCTACTTTCCAGGGCTTTTGTTTGGATGGGCAGGATTTGAAAGTGCTCCGCAAACTGCAACTCAGGGTGAGTCATTATCATAGTGACCTGACCCTGCTGTAGTCTGAGCTCATTTTTGTCCATCCCATCCTTGGAGCGTCCCCTCCCCCAAGGGGCTGACAGCCAGCTGAGGATGGACTTGGGAGATCAGGCCTTCCAGGGTTTGGCACCTGAATGAGAAACTGGCCAGGAGCACAGCCTAGAAGGATGGGAACAGGCATGAACTTTAAATAAAACCGGCCCATAAATCCTGCTGCATGGCATGGGGGCAAGGGCCTGGCATTGCTGGGGCAGAGACCACAAGCCAGGCTGTCTTAGGCAACAAGGGTAGAAGGCTTTTATGCCAAAGGGCTTTGTCTACAGTCATCAAGAAGCCACTGGAGGGCTGGGCTCACGCCTGTAATCCTAGCACTCTGGGAGGCCGAGGCAGGAGGATCGTTTGAGCCCAGGAGTTTGAGGTTGCAGTGAGCTAAGATGATGCCATGGTACTGTAGCCTGGGCAACAGAGTGAGGCTCTTAGAAAAAAAAAAAAGAAGGAAAATAATAAAATTAACATACATGTTAAAAAAAATAAAGAAGCCACTGGAAGCACAGGGGAAGTGGTGGAGACAAGGGACACTGGGCTAGGGGGCTGGACGCCTGGGTTCTGCTCTGCATTGCTCTGTGACTGCAGTCAAGCCCCTCCCCTCCTCTAGGCCTTAACTTCCCATCTGTGCATTGGGCGGTCAGCCCAGGTGGTACCCAAGGCCCTTTCCAACTCAGTCTGTGCCAACTTTACTTGCCCTTCACAGCTTGGGCCAGAGGGGTCCGGTTCAGGCTGTGCCAGGGACAGACAGGGACAGCTGGGGAGGCTCTCAGAAGCAAGAGGAGGCAAGGGAAGCCATGCCTACTGCGGCCACTTCCACCCTGTGGAAGGGTCGGGCCTGGAGCAGGCTCCTCCCTGTGTCCTCCCCCTCTGGGTAAATGGCCCGCTTTGCAGACTGACTGCAAGGGTGACACAGGCGCAGAGAATACAGACTCTCAGACCCTCAGACATCATCCTGCTCACCCCCACCCCCACATAGGGAGGGAACTGAGTGAGATGCAGACCCCAAGGGCTTGCTTGGGGTCAGGCAGCGTGGTGGTGGCACAGCCAGGACTCACACGCAGGACCGATGTCCACCTACCACCAGCTCAGTTGCCAGTCTCAAGCCACGCCCAGGTCTCTCTGTCCCACCATCCCTGCCAGGCAGCCCATGCCTTCCACTGACAGAGTCAAGCCTCAGTTTCCCTGCTGGGACCAGGACACACAGAAGGGTTTCTAGGTCAGAGCTTGGTGAGTTTTTTGAACTGGGAATAGAGGAGAAGCAAGGAGGTCTGCACTTCAGGCCAAGGTTCATCCTCTGCACTTCACGCAGAGCAGGGACTGGACTAGAATCACCCAGGTTGGGGACCGTGCTGGACTCCCACTACACAGAAAAACTCAGACTCAGGGCACAAGCAAAGCCAGAGCAGGCAGAGGGAGAGAGAAAGGGCTAAAGTTCACTGCAAAACTATTAAATATTGTCACAATGTGGCGGCTCTCAGGGTCTCAGGTGGGACCATAAAATTTCTAGGACCATCTAGTCCCACCCAGCCGGGGGCAGGCGGTAGTGGGGAAAATGGCCAGAACTTGGGGGTCCCTGCCTCCCCCAGTCTGTGCCTGCCGCTGTCTCCGAGGAGGCTGTCCTGGCTCCAGGTCTGACCTGGGCTTGTCAGACCCCAACGGGTGGCCGGTCCCACTGCAAGAAACCTGAGCAGAGTCCCCTGGGCCCTAACCCAGCTCCGGGGCCCCTTGGGGGAGGGACAGGAAGGGAGGAAAGGGCAGAAGGCAGTAGATCTCCCTCTCTGGCCCCTCCCAGCCACCCCACGTACACCAGCTCCGGGCCTGGAAGAGGCCGTAGACCGCGCTCTCAAACTTTAAAGTGTATAGCAATCAGCTGGGCATCCTGTTAACCGGCAGCTTACGTCCTAGCAGGTCTAGGCAGCGCCTGAGAGTCTGCCTTTCTAACAGGTTCCCGGGATGCCGAAGCTGCAAGCGTGCGGAGCGCTCTGCGAGTGGTCGCCCTAGAGATGGTCTGCTTCCGAACCCGTGGGAAAGCTGAAGGCCCAGAGAGGTCAAGTCACTTGTCCACGACCACACAGCGAGCCGCCCCAGACTGAAGGCAGAGGGCACCTGCCGTAGACGCGAGACAGGTCCCCACCCCAGGCAGCGGGAATCAGCTGCCCTTCCTGGCCCGGGGCCCTGTTTGTAAACTCGGCTGCCTAGGGCTCAGCCAGGGCCGGGGTAGAGCGCCTCCCCGCAGAACCTCCTCCGTCTCCGCGCCGGCCTCGGCTGTTCTCCGCTGGGTCCCCGGGCCGACCAGAGGGCGCTCGGGACGCCGAGAGTCCCCCGCGGCGGAGCGATTCCGCACCCTCCTCCCCTCTCTGGGAGCAAACTTCTCCGCCGGCGCCCTTTACCTTTTTGGGGCGTTTGCAGCAGCTCAGCCTGCTGCGTCCGCAGCCCATCCTCCTCCCGGGGCTCCCGGACGCCGCCTCCCAACTCCGGGGCCCCCAGAGGACGCCGCGGTCCGGGCCGCGCTGCCCGCTCCGCGCCTGCCGGCCGGGGCTGCCGGCGAGACCCTGAAACTGAACCTGGAAGCGCGGACTCGAGCCTGAGCCGGGGCGGCCGGGCGCCGTAAATACCCGAAGAGCAGGGCCTCTGCGAAGCCCGCTGGGTTCGCGGCGCCGCCGCCAGAGGCAGGTGACCAAATAATAGGAACCTCAGGCCATGGCAGAAAAACCTGTAGACGCAACAGATGCTTTTCGGAGCCCTCAGCTGAGAATAGGCGAGGGGAAAAAAAAAAAAAAGATTAAAACGATTATTTGGTCAACACAGCAGCTACCATTTGTTGAGGGTTGTTTCTGCTCCAGCTGTTTTTTTACATATTTTGTTTCAGTTTCTTGCCATATCCGTGCAACAAGGTAATATTTCCTCCATTATACAGGTGAGGCTCAGAGATGCGAAGTGATTTGCCTTAAGTCACATAGCTCGTAAGTATCGGAGCCCAGATAGAGTCCAGTTCTAGCTCCAGAACCTGAGCTTGGAACCAGTTGCCTACAAATAACTAGTAATACTAAGTTTAGTTGTAATGCCTCTCCACTTCTGGGTCGATAGCTTTTTTCTAGGTCACCAACATCTGTAATATTCGATTCTATCCATCTTGGATAGATGCCATCCATCACCACAACCTTGTGAGGCAGGCCAGATGCAGTGGGAATAAGGGACATAAAGTGTCAATGTCTAGGAAAAGGAACTTTTATTTATCCTCACTTTGTTATTAGCTGAGGTTTCTGGGAGTGGCAAGGCAGGAAAAAGATTCCTAATTTTGAAAATCAGTGTGCATGTGTAGCTGTGTGCATAGCATATTAGAAAATGAGAGCCAGGCCCCAAAACTCCTTAAAAAGTGTGTTGATGAAAAGGACTTAAGAGTCATGAATGGAGAAAGACTGTGAAAGAAATCCCCCCTCCATGGAATATAAAACAAACTGCAGAAAGTACTTAGAAAGGAAACTAAGGGGCGACTTCCGGGGCCCCTGCTCTTGGGGCCCCAGAACCTCGTCCACGAGTGTATAATAAAGCCACGTGGTTTGGCCCCCCCTAAAAAAAAAAAAAAAGAAAGGAAACTAAGGAAACAGTTGATGTTAGGTTCTTAAAAGCAAGAATAATATAGGACAGTGGTTCACTGAGGTGTGATTCCCAAATGAGCAGCTTCAGTTACCACCAGGGAACTTTGTTAGAAATGCAAATTCTCAGGCCCCACCCCAGACCTACAAATCCTAAATTCTGGGATGAGGTTCAGGAGTCCATAGCTTCATAAGCACTCCAGGCATTTCTGACCCAGGGGAAAGCCTGGGAACCCCTGATGTGGGATGTGATCAACAGGTACTGAGGAAAGAGTGTCTACTTAGATTAACAATGTTTATTGAAACAATGTTTGTGATTTTAAACAAAGAAACAAGCAAAAACCCCAACGCAACCTTAATATCCAAGCAAAGAAGCTTGGTTCAATAAATTTTGATATATCCATAAAAATAGAATGACATGTAGCTAGTAAAAATACTGATGAGGATGAATTTTTAAATGTTACAAAATATAATAAATCCATTTTTATTTTTAAGAAAAGTATTAATAGTGAGTACCTCTGGATGGGTGAAAGTTTGGATCTTTAAAACTGTTCTTCATCAAAACAGCAACTCAAAGTACTATATTGCACAAAAAAAATAAAAAAAAGAAAAATTATTAAAAAACACTATTCTTCATTTCCTTATATTAAAAACATGAGCATGCATTAATTACTATTATAATAAAAACATAATTTTAATGTGAAAAATTTTCCTCTTAAAATATATTTTTAAACCCAAATTGTGATTTATCTTTTACCATCAAGCCATGGCAAGTCTGAAATCCCAAAGAAATGGACAATGGTTGTGAATGAACTAGGTAGAAAAGTAACATACAGGGCAAAGATGGCTAAACTGTGAGCATGAGGTCATGGAAACCAGTATTAGGATCCTGAAACAGTCATTTCTCCCCTCTGAGAATATCCCATTGGGACATTGAGGAGTTAGTTGAACTTTCTAAAATCCATCTTGAATTTTAATGACAACCACTAAAATTAATCACTTGGGGAGCTGGGTAGGAAGGCAAGTTCTGTTCCTAGACACTCTGTTCTCAAATGGTCTTGCCTCCAGCCTCTCTGAGCCTCCTTGGAGAGCAGGTTTGGATTTCCCACATTCCCGCTGCTGGCTTTTCAGTTATGTGTGTTGAAGTTCCTGCCTGAGAAACGTGAGCAGCATGAGTTTGAGAAAATGGCCAGTGAGATTTTTGATGGTTCGCATACCAGTCAGGTTAGGGTAGGTTTTGCTGCAGGAATAAAAAGCATAAAAATCTCAGTGACTTGCCACAAGAGAAGCTAAATTTCTGCTCACACTGCATGTCCAGCATGGGCAGGCAGAAGGCTTTACTTCACGGAGAAATTCCACACCATTCTATGATGCAGCCATCTCACCAAGATGGCTTTAGGGTTTGCTGGGGCAAGAGAAAGGAGTGCATGGGGTCTTAAATGCTTCCACTTGGAAGAGACACACATAGCCCCACTCACATTTCATTGGCCAAAGCAAGTCACACAGTGATGCCCAACTTCAAAGGGATGGGGAAGCACAATGTGTATCTAGAAGAAGAAGAGAATCAGAAATGGTAAATGGAAGTAATGCCTACCACAGTTAGGCCAACAAGCAGGTCCTACTATGTGACCATTTCTTAGGCAAGTAGGGTGATCAACTTATCCTGGTTTGCCTAGGATTTTCCCACTTTTAGCATTGAAAGTCCCAAGTCTCAGGAAACTCCTCGGTCCCAGACACACCAAGATAGTTGGTCGCCCTACAGGCAAAGCATAGTGGAAGTTCAAGGGAAGAAGACTCAGCCCTTGTTCTTGAATTAGTCATGATCTGTTTTTTTGACATTAGAACCTATACATAAGAAAACATGGGAGATAACACAGAAAAGGTTTTATAAAGCTAATGCCAGATTGTGTGTTTCATGCAGAAGGTATTAGCATTAAAGGGAGATGAGAGACCAAGGTGGGTGGGGATGGCCAAGAAGGACTTCCTGGAGGAATACTAAAGTCAAAGGATCATCATGCCAAAAGGAATTCCAGAATCTCAGGCTGGGATGGAATCTGGTGCTTGGCTTCTAAGAACACTGACTAATACAAATCGCTTGTTATAATTTCCTTTCTAGGTGATTATGCAGCCTATGTTTAATACCTCCAGTGATGGGGAAATCACTACCTACCTTTCCATATCTAGGGGAAAGAGGAGAAGCAGGGAGGAGTGATTACAAGAGGGAAGGACACATGAGTCAAGTCAAAGGCAGTGAGGGATTCACGCATGTAGGCAGCTAGGTTGCATGTAAAGGGACTAAAGGTGACGGGGTAGACTCTTCGGGAAAAGACTGGAGAGAACAATATGAGCATCTCTCATGAGAAAGGTACATTATACCCATACATAAAGAGTTTTACATGGATTTCAGGGGTTCCTGGACCCCCGCAGCCCACACAGTAGGTCTACGTGTGGATCCCAGGTTAAGAACGTGTCAGCTCAGTGATCATTAAAGGTCTTTCTAACCCTGAAAGCTTTTTGTGTGCAGGTTCTTCTGATGGAGCCCAATTGTCCCCCAAACATATGCCCTCCGCCCAGAGTGACTTTCTTCCCAATCCGTCTCTGTGGGTCATAATTCTCCCTGTACATGGAGGAGCAGCTCAAATGCCCTCTCCTTTCAAAGGCCTGGCAGCACTTGTTCTACAGCTCTCTTAGCACACTTGGCGGTTTTCCTATGGAAAACTTGTTTGTGTGCTGTGTGTGTCTTCCCTAGTGGATGAAGGGTTGCCCAGCTCTGCCTCCTCCCTCCCCGCCCATCCCATCCCGCTTAGTAGGCTGTCGCAAAGGCTGCCAGCTGCCTTGCTCAACTTCCCTTCTTCTCCGTTCCTGAGTTCCAGAATCCTGGCATTCTTTGGGACAGCAAAGTGCTGGGGCCAACAGGCTACTCACCAGCTGCCTTGTGTCTGTCGTCCGTTGTGGGGCGGCCAATGATATGTAAGGGAAAATTACTCCTGGAGGCTTCCAGGAAAGCTTTTAAAAGGGGGATGACTCAGCTGGGAGCAGGGTTCCCCCTTTCTTGCCCCCTCTTTTCCTGCCTGGAAGACACACAGGATGGCTACGTCCCAGCAACCATCTTATCACCTGGAGCAAAAAGACAGAGGGAGCCTTGATCTCTGATGAACTTATGGAGCCTCCATACCAGCCTTGATCAATTATTTCCAAACTTATTAATAAATGACAAATGTGTTTAAGCCAATGGGAAAATTATAGTTCACGATAATTTATTGTATATTACAAAACAGCTAGAAGGAAAGAATTGTACTGTCCCTAACACAAAGTAAAGATAAATATTTGAGGTGAGGGATATCCCAGTTACCCATATCTGACCATTATATATTGTGTACCTGTATCAAAATGTCACACGTACCCCCAAAATATGTACAGTTATTACATCTCAATAAAAAAAGTTTTAATTTAAGCCCCTGCCATTGAGATTTTGTCACTTGCAGCAAAATACAATTGCTAACCAATACATAAGTCACTAATTAAGGTTGTTATATTGAATTTATTTTTTTAATTAATTAATTAATTAATTTATTTTTAGCGTATTATGGGGGTACAAGTGTTAAGGTTACATATGTTGCCCATGCCCCCTCCCCCTCGAGTAAGAGCTTCAAGCGTGTCCATCCCCCACACGTTGCACATCTTACTCATTGTGGTTGTATATACCCATCCTTTCCTCCCCCCTCCCACCCACCTGACACCCGATAAATGTTACTTCTATATGTGTTATATTAAACTTAATTAGAATAATTTACTCTTAGGGACACTGTGTGAAGCCCCAGCTGCCCTTCTGGAAGTAGGAAGTGAGGCTTTGCCGAGTCAGGTTCCCTGGATTTTCTAGACCCTCGATAGAAAGGTTGGTTTTGACAGCTTCCTCCTGGAAAATGCTTAAAGGAAGAAAATGAGAGAAAATCTAAAATCAGAGTCCATAGGGCTCTACTGGAGTATTTCTCTAGGTATAGGTGGGCTCATT